AAATCTATAAAAATAATAAGAAAATAAGAATTAACCACTTGCACATTTCTTACCTCAAATGATACCAAAGAAATTCTGAAAAGGACTTGTGAAATAAAATGTTATTTCTTTTCAAAAGTGTGTGTGTTACACATGTGCAATGCATGTGGTTAAAGGAAAGCTCTTCACATAGTGTGTGTCTATATATATATATATATATGTAAATTTTGTCATTGTAAAATTCAAAACGTCTCAAACAATTCAATGAATGATAAATTTTCAATTAATCACGGTGGTTGTTTCAGTGATGAGACCGTACATTGGAATGAGAGGTTATCAGTATTAAATTAAATGAATGGTTTGATAGTGTTTCAAATTCCCAGAATGAAAGGTTACACATATTAAATTAAATGAATGGTTTGGTGACGGTTTCAAATTTCCAGCAACGCAAGTCTTCAATTATTATTATTATTATTATTATTATTATTATTATTATTATTATTATTATTATTATATATAGGATTTAGAATATCTTTCTTCAGATCAAGATAACTCGAATATGAGAGTCAAAAATTATTTCTTCTTGAGCCAATTTATGTTATTTAGCATGAGCTACAAAATGAGTTAATATCGATATATTTTTATCTACTTTGGAATACTTAAATATTTGATCCAAATAATTTACGATAATTTCAAAAAGTATACGCAGGCAAAATAAATCATTTATACAAATAAGTGGGGACATGTTTATCACTTCAACTTTTGGACTTTAGTGTACGACAGTGTTTGACATGGATTATTTCATTTGCTAAATTATCAACATTGAATTTAGCCCACACGGAATTAAAATTTAAATTTCAGAGTGTTACAATGATGACCATAGTATTGCAACATGTGTGATGCTTGCAGTACTTTAGTTATAAAAGCAACATGAGGATTTGAATGCCAACACAATTGTTTTTCATCTCAAAAGGTTGTATGAAGAACAATCATGTGTGTAAAGATATGAGACTTTCAAATAATTATACTAGTACAAAATGGCAAAAGGATATTCGGTCAGTGCTTATGTACTAAAGATGATTGGCTACACTGAGAAATTATCTCAATTGAATTCAGTCATGGACCGTGAACTAAGTATTGACTTAATCTTTGATAGATTACTATTCACGCTTTATTATGAATTTGAACATAAAAAAACTCGAGTGCATACTCTCTGAGTTATTGAACATGTTTAAACCGTTGAGCCCAATATCAAAGATAGTAGTGAGTAAGTTTTAGCCATTTATTCCTCTAATGATACTAAGAAAAGGTATAAAGGATGCTTTGAGAAAGTATCTAAGATAGCTAAGGCAGTCAAAAAAATAAAGACATTATCAAGTCTGATGACCATTGATGTCATTGTAGAATGAAAGGTGAATGGAAGAGATACTACAATGCTTATATTTATCTCATTAGCTTATTGGGTAATAGATAACAGATATAGATTCCATATTTGTATAATATACGGGGGGAAAAAAAAGTAGGCCATTACAGAAAAGAGAAGTTGACCTGCATATTCAAAATAAAGCAGGGGTTGCTACATTACCTGTAGAAACATACTCCTTCCCATTGCCTACATGTTTAGTGTTAAAATTAGAGAAATTTTATTTTGTTCCCACCATTACCAAGATCTTTATTTTTTTTATTTTTCTTTAAAAATTATGTATGGACATGAATTATTTTTTAATTAATTTTAAATACAATGATCATTTTTATCTTGATAAAATCTTTAATGGTTATGATAAATTACAGGCTGATATTTATATTTTAGATATTTAATATTTTATAATAAGTATAGAAATTAAAAGACATAAAAGTAATAAATTAAATATTATTTATATATGGCATTTTAGATTTAGTCATATAAATGAAAAATGCATTTCCAAATTATATAGAGATGAATATTTGGGATCGACTATTTTAAGTCATTTGACAAATGCGATTCATTCTTATTAGGGAAGATGACCAAATTTTTTTTATTGGAAAATGAGAAATAACTATACAATTATTGGGATTAATACATACTGATGTATATGGACCTATATCAGTCATTGTTAGAGGGAGTTTCTTTTATTTCATCACATTTTTAGATGACTATTTCAGAAATAGTTATGTATACTAGATAAAATTCGGAAGTTCTTGAAAACTTCAAAGAATGCAAACTAAAAGTAGATAAACGATTAGGGTATAGGTATTCTCACACTAAGATATGATCGAGGAGAGAATACTTGGAAAATGAGAAATAACTATACAATTATTGGGATTAATACATACTGATGTATATGGACCTATATCAGTCATTGTTAGAGGGAGTTTCTTTTATTTCATCACATTTTTAGATGACTATTTCAGAAATAGTTATGTATACTAGATAAAATTCGGAAGTTCTTGAAAACTTCAAAGAATGCAAACTAAAAGTAGATAAACGATTAGGGTATAGGTATTCTCACACTAAGATATGATCGAGGAGAGAATACTTTAAAGGAGAATTTTAGATTATCTAAAAAAGAATGAAATTATCTTACAATGGACTCTGCCACATACATCGCAATATAATAATGTATCTTAGAAAAGGAATCACATACAATTAAATATAGTGCGATCAATGATGAGCCATGCATACCTCCTAAAATCGTTTTGGGGTCATCTGCTAATTGCAGCATGCTACACACTAAATCGTTTTCCATCTAAGTTAATTGACAAAACTCCATCTGAGTTATGGAAAGACAATAGGTTTAACTTGTCTCTCCTTAAAGTTTGGAGCTATAACGCTTATGTGAAGCGCACTGAACTAAATAAACTTGAGTTTAAATTCGATAAGTGCATATTTATGAGATATTCAAAATAGACAATTGGATATCAATTTTATAATCCTATTCAGGAGAATGTGATCATCTCAAGCGATGTCGTCTTCCTAGAGAAAGTGTTCGTTCTCAATGAGGACGGTGGAAGAAAATTAGAACTTGAAACTGTTCAAGAATCAACATATATAGTTGTAGAAGAACCTGAGTCTAATCCCACATTTGCTAAAGGATAAATTCTTGACCGGGAATTAGAGACTCTTCAGGGCACTCCTGCTCAACGTAAGTCTGGTAGGATCATTCAACCTTCTAGAAGGTTTCAATTCATGGTTACTAATTAAGCATTACTTATAGCGAATGATAAACCTACTAATTAGGTAGTAACAAAGTCAAGTGTTAACTCAAAGAATGCATGAGGTCAGAAAATGCAAGAGGAACTCGATGTATGTAAATAAGGTTGGGACCTTGTCGGACCCTCCTCATGTGATAAAATCCAAATGACAGTAAATGAATTTAGAGAAAAGAGGTAAACACGAATGGAAACTCCATACATACATAACAAGACCAATAGCAAAAGGTTACAAATAAAGAGAAAAAGTTGACTTTGATAAAACAATTTTAACCTATAGCCATGCTTAACTTCATCCGGATTTTACTTGTAATAGCAGCATTCAATAACTATGAAATATGGCAAATAAATGTCAAAACTGCATTTTTAATAGGAACTTGTAAGAAGAAGTATACGAAGAAGTATACATGACACAATCCAAAGGTTAAAATCAAAAAATGCTAACAAGATATTCAAACTTGATCGATCTAGACATGGATTGAAGCAAGTATTTAGGAGTTGGAATATTCACTTCGATGAGACAATTAGAAAGTTTGATTTTATCAAAAATGAAGATGAACCGTACATTGACAAGAAAACAAGTGGGGGTGCTGTCATACTCTAAATGACATATTATTAAGGAGAAATTGCAGCAGCAATCCTTAATCTTTTCATTTTTTTGCTGATTTTGCTCTAATATTCATTTTGTGTTAGTGAAGGTTCCGAACATTTCATAAATATGCACCTGTTGTCCATCTGGACGGAAACCATCCAAAACATCATCAGTTGACTGGAAAAATTAAAGAATCAACATCCAATAAAATCATCTAAAACACCGTCCAAAAAGATATCAACATCCAATAAAATTATGATCTATATTTCATATCCCGTAATTGATTTGATCATATTGAAAAAGAAATCATTGACCAGCGTGTGCTTATAAGTCGAAAAAATGGGGTGAAAGATATGATCGATAATCAAATTCGATGCACTTTCATATCCTATAATTGATTTGATCATATTGACGAATATATTATAGCTTCATGGTGAACAAACAAGTTTGATTTTGTCATATCATTTCGTCATATAAATTGCTCTGACACGTTGTTATATATCAATCTAGAACAACAAATGTGAATTAATAATAAATTAAAAGGATTTATTTATTTTGATCTAATCAATTTTGTAATTTACATCATTAAACATTGTGATCATCAACCTAATGAGTCTCATACAATAAGGAAAATTAAAATAATTATATTGCTAATTAATTAATTGATAAGTGTTGGACATTTGTAAAATTGATTAATTAATTTATGGATGAAGTTCAATTAATTAAATATTTGATCGGATTAAATTTAAAGGACGGACCAAACCACTTAAAACGTCTATAAGTTGTCAGGGCTTAAGAAATCATCACATATTCATCATCTTGCTAACACGAGATAACCCCTAATTTTCTCATTCTTATATCCTTGTATAGGTTACCATTGGAAACTAAATAATTGAACAGTTGTAATGTGCATATTGTAATTGTACGTGTTTCAAGATTGTCATAGAACTTTGGAAAATTAGCTTATCACAATTTCTATTTAAACATAAAGAAGATCGTCGATGAGAATTGAAATTGTTTAAATTCTGCTATGCATGATTGAATAAATTCCCAACAGCTGATAATTAGGATAACTACTGCAGCCCCTAACTATGAATATAGCATAGAATATAATTAAGATTTAATGACCCCACAATCTGGTGAATACTAAGATTAACTGAGATTGAACTGGTATTCTCGCATATGTTCATATCCCAACAAATGAAGCAGAACTCCAAAATTCATCTATAAGGGTGCAAGATTTCAAAATGCTGAGGTACAAATCCACATTGAACTTCAAGAATATTACAAGTAAATGACAATTTTTTTAATAATTAACGAAAATTCACATACCGCACTAAAACATAATATAGCAAATCCCTAAACCATTTTCATAGCACACGACATGCCGAAGCCAAATACTAACTAAAAATTTGAAAACGGACGAGAGAAGTTTTCTGTACATTTCCAAAGAAATGGCACCCAAAGTATAGCACCGAACTTTGTTACGACTTTACAAAATATATATTCTTCTGCCATACGGCTATACATTAACTTTAAGAGCAACAAGCACTGGTTGCCTTCTCTGATGGTCTCTGATTATCCACAAGAAACATGCCTGATGGGTTTTGTGCTGGCTGCAGACGAGGTAGTCTCTTTGCTGTTGATGCACTACAATATTAGAAAGTGGGAAAAAGGATACAATATAGTCGTGTTGTGGCACAATTTGAGTCTATCCACATGAATATAAGTATTGTTTGGGAGAGTTTTTTCCAAGTTAAAAATGATGTTTTTGGAGAATGTGGGGTTAAAAAGTAGAAAAAGTTATGGGTCCCATAGAATGAAAGTGTAGTTAAAGATGATTTTCAGGATAATGATTATAAAAAAATCTTTCCCAAGCAAGGCCTAATATTTTCCTTTCGACTTAGAAAACTTCAAAAAACTAGGATTAGAACAGTCTCGAGCAATAATATTAACATCTCTATCTGAATTGATTTCTATATGATCTCTCAATTAGAGATGAATCTTGTTTGCAATTTATTCCGCAAGGAAATGCAAACAAGAAGTGAAGATTAATGTTCTCTGCGAGTTCTAAAGGACCTATTGAAGCTAAATTATATCCCGCATATTCTATTATACTTTCCAAGCTAACACTCTTACCTATTTCATAAAATAGTTCATTGACATTTGTTGCAGTTTTTGCAGAGGTTTCCATAAAGAAAAGCCCATTCTCCTGCGCATAGGTCTGCGCTTCCTGCAAAAAAAATAGCATTCATACAGCTGAGAAAAGTTTTTTGGCATTGAATAGGGAAAATTAGATGGCCGATAATAGATTTAAGGAATGCAAGAGAGCAAAGAGCACATTTTAGCTAAGTTTAGCATTCAATTCATTCATGATCTGCAACAATGTACACGTTCATGAATCGTGATCTATGTTATTATTGTTAAATGTCATATGACAGTAACTTTATAGCAAGATTCCCAGCACAGAATGAAGTTAAAAATGAAAATAAAAAAGATCAACGATAGATATTTTACAATAGCTCTAAGTATGAGTTGAATTTTTGCCATGGACAAAAAACACTCATGCTTGCAAAGGAACTGATAGGGCTTTGTAATTTCTGTTGTTGTTACAGGAACCAGATGCAATGGATGAGCTGTGATTCAATTGAAAATGAAGCAAGCATTGTTTTAGCTATTTGTGTATTTATGTGGTGATTATAGAATGAAAGCAGAATGTATTACTTAAATGAAAATTGGATTTGTATTCATATTTCTGCACTGAATGTACAGACAGGAATGAATTGCAGACAGTATTTATATTTAACATAAAAAACAGACTTCATTTAAGCAAATCACTGAGAACCTTCATTTAAGCAAATCAGTGTGAACTGAAGATGAAATAAACAATGGGATACAATCAGTCTACAATTAACACCAGACTCAAAGAAAACATGAGTTTGAAAAGGAATTACAATATTTTGCCATGTATTGAAGAGGCTCGACACTCTCCCTCACAACTCTCCATTTCTGAATGAATCCCCGAAATAGAATCCTATCCCCTTTTATATATTGGCACTAGCCTTATTCTGTAAAATTCTCCAATTTACCCCCTTAGCAAACTAATGTAATGCTGAAAAATTAATCTACTGCATCTGCACTCTGCTACACTTGAGAATGACTGTCTTGCTTATTCCACCTCATGTATGTGTCAGTAACTTTTTTCATTTTTTGCATATCCATAACTTTTATAAGCACAAAACTCCAAGAAAAGCTTAGGCTAGGGTAATTTTGAATGAAGCTAAGCTATTAAAGTTCAATCTTTCTCCATACACTACCCCCTCCATTAGTTTTACCAGACCATCATAACTAGTATGTATTCCAGTAAAACAATTCTAAGTATTTAGTATTTACAGATCAAACTGAATAATTAAGCAGGGGTGCATAAATTTCAAATGCATTTTCTATGCTTGACTATAGTATTGAATATAAATTTAATTGGTCCAGAAAATTTTCAATGAAGGGAAAATTGTGTGTGTGTGTGTGTGTGTGTGTGTGAGAGAGAGAGAGAGAGAGAGAGAGAGACTTGCCTCCGCTGGCACCTTTCTTGCATCTATTAAATCAGCCTTGTTCCCAGCAAGTGCCATAACCGTGTTTGAGTTTCCTAATGTCACGGGAAAAATAAAGTGAATAATAAAACTTTAAAACAGGCAGAAACTCTGTGAAATAAAAATAAATCAAAAACAAGTATATCTAAGTGCATGTTTGACAGAGACTGACACACGTGTATTTTAATTTTTTGTTCTATTTCCATCAGTAAATTAGCATAAAGGGCAGAAGTTATCGGCATTAACAGCTAAAGGATGATAAGAAAATACACCAAATTCTTTAAAACTAATTAACTTTAGCTATGTTGAGAATAACAAAGAGAGTCAATTAGGAAAAATCAAAACATAGCACCCCTGCCCAATACCCAAAAAAATATCAAAAAGAAAAGGAAAGTAAAGGCAATTGAAGCCATTTTCGGCCCAACCAAAGGATAGGTAGTTTACCTTGTGCTTTAAGCTCCCGAACCCAATTTTTAGCCCGCTCAAAGGATTCCTGAAAAGAAAAGAAATTGTTAGCACTTACAGCTCCTATATTATAAAATATCATGATATCTCTCCTAACCTACTGTATCCCAAGACAAACAAAATAACAATGATGAGTGATGACAAAGTCAAAAAGTGGGATATGAACACTCACTTGGTTTGCTATATCATAGACAATCACGGCCGCAGCAGCTCCCCGATAGTACATTGGAGCCAAGCTGTGATATCTCTCCTGACCAGCTGTGTCCCATATTTCGAATTTTACAGTTGTGTCATTCACAGCTACTGTTTGTGAGAAAAAGGCAGCGCCAATAGTTGATTCCTACATCAGACATAAAAGTAAAGTTACACTCTCCAGGGACCAATGTTTGAAAAGGCAGAACCAGGTATTAAGGCATTTTTTCTTTGTGAGACGAGGCATAAGCCTCAAACCAAACCAAAAGAATTAGTCAAATAAAATAATATAAATATAAACATATAGATACAATAAACCTTAAAAAATCAATCTTAAAGAACTCACCATAGAATCAACACCAAAATAAGTTAATAAAGTAGCAAGAGCAAGAGTAACTTCAGAAAAAAAGAGACTAAAAGCAGAAAAATAAAGAAGGGAAAGAAATATTACTTCCAAGAAGCTGGCGCACTTGGAGAAGAAGCTTCTTCCTTCTTCAAGAAGCTGCCAGGTGGGGCACTGGCGGACCCAGGGGTCACGTGACCCCCCGACTTTTGAGTTTTTTTTTTTTTTTTTTGGAGGGGGGGCGGGGGAGGGATAAAATCCTGTTTGGTACCAATTGAAATCTAAATTTTAATTTAAATCAAAGTTAACAATTAATTTTAATAATATATTTCACTGAATCCTTAACATTTTAACTTTTATCAAAATTTATTAAAAATCTGATTTTAATCCCCACCAAATAGAGATAAAATCCAATAAATTTGAAATTTTTTCTTCTCTTCTCTTGCTCTATCTTATGCTCTCTCTCTCACGCCTTTCACCAAAACTTTTAACCTTCTAATTTTTTAAAATTTGGCTATAATTTATCTACAAATTATCACATATACTACAAATTTTCATTTTCCAATCAATTTTTTAATTAATTAAAACCTAAATTTGCATTTTTTTCTATCCCATTTGTGTATATAGAATGTGTTTGAACTGATTATATCCAATTTAACTTTTATTTAATGAATTGTGATTATTTAATTGATTATTAGTATTGAATATTAGTTATATGTTTTTCCTTTCAATTACTTGAATTGATTGTTTGTATCAAATACACTATAAATTTTTTAAACGTAAATATGAATTTTCTTGTATCAGTTGTATGAGCAAAATATTAATGAAGAAATGCTTTTAAAATGTAAATCTACATTTTCTCGGATCAAGTATGGATAATTCAAAAATCAAGAACAATGAATTTGATTTGTACAGAATTTAATTGTGCCCCCCTAACTCAAAACGTTTGCATCCGCCCCTGGGGTGGGGTATGCTAGTAGGTAACGGTTTGGATTTTTTTATTATTCAGATAAATATAATGGCCCATTTTTTTTATTTGAGAAGATAGGCCCAATTAAAAGCCTGCACATTAACGCTCAAAACATTGAATAAATCATTCAAATTACAAAAAACATGAGGTGAACATCTCACGCCTCTGTGACTGTGAGACGTCTGATTTGAGTCATGACCTCATTGTCTGTCTCACAAAATAATAATAATAATAATAATAATAATAATTATTATTATTATTATTATTATTATTATTATTATTATAAAAAATACAGGAAAGCCTGACATAACGCCTTGAGGCACAGGTGCTATGCCTCAAGTTGAGCCTTTTTAAACCATGCCAGGGACCAGAAGAAAAAGTTAAATGTGGATTGTCCCCAACTACCCCTATGAAAAGTATGATAGTACAGGGTTTGAACCAACCTGAAATTCAATAAATTGTCCCTTTACAAATCGCAGGACTAGACTGGATTTTCCAGCTCCAGAATCTCCGAGAAGCACCTTAGGAAAAAATAAATTTCACACATATAAGCAACATGAAAAGTGAAGGCGAGAAACAAGAGATGAACAATAAAGGTAAATCTTGGTACTCAAATGCCTCAAAGAAACGGTTATGCCAACCATTACAGTATGAAAAGCGGGTGGATATTCAAATAAGTCGTCATGGACTTACCAAAAGGACCATAGGTTCCAATCAATCACTTTTGGAAATTTTTCATTGGTTTCCCAAAAGAGAGAGTATTGTATAACCTAATAATTTAAGACTAATTTTCTTTAGCCCTCACAAAAACATTTGAATCAGCAAACGAGTAAACCATTCATGATAATTTTATGATGCATACACATGAACTACTTCATCACCAAGACACAGTATTATAAAACAAATATTCACTTGTTTTGAATAACTTGGTCTGACTTTCACCGTGAAATAGACTCATGTATTTTTTTTTGTTGTATAAACTCCATTCTCGGATTAATAAGATACAACACATCCGAAACTGTACATTTCCAGACGACATCATTTCAAGTGGAAAAGAGGGGTAATTCATTTGGTACATTGAGGCTACTTTTGGCGTACCAGATTAGGTCATATGAGGAATTTAGTACAAAATCATATTATATGCTCAAAACCTGTGAGCCAAATGCTACCTGATTGTCTCCCACAAGTGTAAAACAAACCTACTTAGTTTAAGAGAAATATTTCATGGTCATTAGTTGTGTTTTAGTAAGATGATTGAATCCACAATTTAATAGTCTTTTTCACTCTTCTCCTCCCGTATAAGCCCACCGAATCATGTTCTCAAACTTATTATCGAAATTACTATTAACCAAAATGCGATCACACAAAATTAAACATAAAATAGAAATAATTCAACAAAAGCGAACAGTTACCCATAAACACCACAAAATTGACAAGAATCACCGGGAATTTGCAAAACTAAGGATGATTAAGAGTTAAATACGAACAGCGAATGCAAAATTTACCACAAAACACCTAAATTAGAGAAGCAAAATTGAGGTAAAAATTATCATAATTTTGGAGAATAACACCTCAACAGTGAGGAATTAAAGCCTACCCAGATTAATAACCACATAAAAGAAACGCAAATGATTATATAAGAAGTGCAGATAAAGAAAAAAATAGATCCAAGAATGTACGAACCAGCTTGAAGTTGATATTCTTGTTTCCGCTAGAGGCCATCGGTTCTCAATTTAATAAAATTCAAACACAAATCAGCAGATAAAGAATTTTTTTTACGGTATTATCCGAGAGAATTACAAGGGAACAATTCTGGAGGAAGAGTTATTTCAGCTATAAATTTCGTACGCATGAAAAGAAAAGGAAAATTCTTTCAAGTTGTCTTGCCCCCAGCCTTTAAGACTTTGAGATTGGGCCAAAGTTGGTTTATTTGGTTCTTCATTTGAGGGCCCAGTATTCGGAGCTAATCTTGGGCTGAAAAGACCGGGCCCAATTAGCTGTGTCAGTTTTAATTGGGTTCCAAGCTCTTACTACTTCCCCAAACATTAAAAATGAGATACAAAGTTTGTTTATTCAAAAATCAGAAAATAATACAATAATAATAATATTCTTTATAAAATTAAATTAATTTATATACCAACATCCATCCACCCCACCATTTTTAACCCTAAATTTCAATTATCTCTATCTCTTAGGGTGCGTTTGATTGCAAGTATGGAATTTGCATAGAAAGAAAATAAATTCTAGGTAATTCAACTATCTAGAATTTATTTGTATGGAAATTGTCAATTAAAAGTGTTTGATTAATTTAATTTTCAACCTAAAAAATATTATACTTGTCCATTTTTTATTGGTGGGTTAATGAGAGAGTGTGGATAAATAAGAGAGAGAAAGAGAGAGTGGATTCCGTGGAAAATAAAATCATAATCTTCCCAAAAAAAATATTTTCCTTGATTTTGAGGAAAATATGGTCACGTGACCAAAAGTGGGAAATTATTTTCCATGGAAAAAATTGACAATTAAAAAGCACAAAAGTAGAAATTTTGATGGAAAAAACATATTTTTCAAGGAAAATATAAGCAATCAAATGCACTCTTAATCTCTCTCCTTCACCTGTTCCAGCGATGTCACCCTCTCTACCTCTCAGTCTCTCTAACCTAGACTTCACTAGCACCAGCACCAGCACCAACACTCATAGCTAAAAATGTCGCTCGTCGCTTGAGCATTGGTGCATGGTGCTATGAAGGAGGCTATACCAATCGCGAAGCGGCCATCATCAATAGTAGCGTCGCTCTACCCAATTTTTTGAAGATCGACGTGGTGGTGGTGGTTGTGTGATAGTTTGATGCAGGTGGAGGTGGCTAAGATGGCAATTGTGTGAAGGAGACTGCGGGCTATGGTCTGATTTGATTTTGGTGGAGACTCTTGATGATTTGTTTGTTGATTTGAAGAGGTGATGATGAAAATATGGTGGCCAACGGTGTTGTAGTGAGTTGATATGCCCGGCAGGACACAGTACATATGGGCGATGGTTTTGGAGTTTTTTTGGTGGTTTGGGAATGGAGGTGGTAGTGGTGCGGCGACTGCGGTGGCGATGGTGGAGGTAGTGTTGGCGGTAGCGGTGGTGGTGGTGTGGTTGTTAGTGGTGACGGCAGTGGGATGAGATGGGGTTGGATGCTTTTGACCAATTATTTGGTTAATTATGACTAATAATTGATTAGTTTGTAATATGTGATCTAAAAATCGTGATTCTGACTCAATTGATTAAGTTATGATAAAAAAATTAATTGTGGCCAATTAATCTAATAAGGCATCGTTTGGTACCCATTTTTTTTAAAATGCATTTTTCTCTCTCTTCTTTTCAACCACATTTTTCATTAAAATAATATTACACGTAAATGAAAAACTCTTCCTTATTTTTCAACCACACATTTCCCATTAATTTACTATTTCAAAATACATTTTTATATAAAAATGATTTACAAACACCCTCTAATTTGCAATGATTAAATGAGTTGCGACCAATAAAAATTTTGATTTTGTGATCGATAAATAATCTGTGATCTATAAAAAAAAATTGTGACCGATGAGTAACTTGTGACATAAAATTTTTAATTTGTGATCAAGAAATAAATTGCGATTGATAATTTGATAAGTTGTGACTAAAAATTAATTTTAACCAGTTATTCATAAATTGCGACCAATTTGCAAAGAATTGTGACCTTAATATATCTACTTAATAAAATATATGTTGAATAAATTAATTTATAAATAAATTTTTAAAATTTGATTTTTAAAATTTGAAAGTTTTATTCTTAGTTTTAAAATGGGTGATACTTAACTTCTTAGTTATGAAATTTTCCCTTTTAATTTTTAGTTCATTTTCATTTCTATTTTGAAGATTTATTTTGAAATTGTAAAAAATGTTTTTAGTTTATCATTTTGAAAAAATCATTTTTCAAAATAGAAAACTAGAAAACATGTTTGAAATTTTTTTTAAAAAAAATAAATTATTTTCTGAATTCTTATTTCATAAAATTTGATTACTGATTAAAAATAGAACAAATTTATACTAATATATTATCAAATAATATATACATTTTAAAACTTGTATATCTTATAGTATTTTTTCTCGTTACAAAATTAATACTAAAATAAATAATAATTTGAGTTCAAATTATAGAAAATATAAATAAAACTTAATGACATTGCTGAAAAATATTCTTATCTTTGTTTATTTAATTTTTTTTAAAATTTTTTTACTTAAAATAATCATTAAGAGCTTCAACTATTTTTATTTCTTATAAATTTTATTTTCCTAAAATATTTTATTTTCAGAATTTTTACTTTTTAGTTATTAGAATTTTTGGGAATTTTTTTATTTTTAGAATTTCTCAATTTTATTTTTTGAATTTATTTTTCTTGAATTTTATTTTTTAAAATTTATAAATTTTATTTTTTAGAATTTTATATTTATATATTTTTTATTAATTTTTAAAATTTTAATGAAATAAATTTTTATTTAAACTCCTTATTTTTCACGTTTTGAGTGTTTTTAGAATTTTCACTGAACACACTCGAAATTTCAAAAATTCATTTCAAGTTTTTTGTTGCAAATTTATCATTGTTTTTGAAAATGCATTTTTAGAAATACCTTATCAAACATTTTTCCAACATTTTACAAAATTGAAAACTAAAAAAATAGCTTGAAAATAGCAAATCCAACGCATCCTAATATTTTATTTTGGGAACAATACATATTTAAGGTGGTTAAAACATACAATTTCAAAATTGAGAGACATATTTTAAAGTTTCAAAAATTAAGTCATAATTAAATTTTATAAATTAAATAAATAATTAAAAATATTTTATTAATTAGATATATGAAGGTCACAATACTATACAATTTATATTCATAGATATGTAATAGTCATAATCACATAGCATCACAATCACAAATCACAAATTTCAAAGGTCACAACTTATTTTCAATCATAAATTACCAAATTAATTGATCATACGTTAATTTTTTGTCACAAATTACAAATTTTATATGTCACAATTTATTTATCGGTCATAAATTATCAAATTAATAGATCACGTATTATTTCTCAATCACGAATCATAATTTTTATAAGCCACAACTTATTTCATGATCACAAATTATCATTTCTCATGGATTATTTCTCGTTCACAAATTATCAAATTAATTAGCCACAACTTAACAAATTATGAGTCAAGATGACAAATGTAATAATAATCTCACATTTTTAGGTCATATTTATTTTATCCATCGCATAATATTTTATTGATCACAAATTAATCAATGTATTAGTCATAATCATTCACATAATTGGTCACAAACACTCTTAATTCTACCCCTACCCCCCAATCCCACAACGACGCCAATTGAACGTCAAGCCACCTCACAACAACCACCACTGCAACCATTATCACCACCTCACTATCACCACTTGCACCACCACCACCATCATTTACAAAACACCAACAACAGCCAACAAAAATCAACCTGAGTTGTTGGGTGACCTTATAAATTGGTACTGCTTTCCTCCTGTGATTGTTCTCTTTGGCTGAACTCGGCCAAGCAACACATCGGAGGAGGAAAGCACACCAAAATCGTGCAAATCATCACTACAGTAATGACGATGTGAGCATCGCTGCGCTCAGATCGCGCAATGGCAAGTACAACTACAATAGCATGAGAGAGAGAGAGAGAGAGAGGAAAACGATAAATGGTTTGGGAGTGAAATCAGGTGGGATGGTTGGGTATTAGAATAATTTAATTTTATAATATTATTATTTTTTATTAAAAAAATGAATTATCACCTGATTTTTGTACAAAAAATTTTAAATCTTATTTTTGAAATTGGAAGTTAAAAAACATGGATGGTATAATTTTCATTTTTATTTTTGTCGTAATCCCATTATTTAGAAGTTAAGCCCCGTTTGATTTGTGTTCCAATTTTCAATTGTGAGTTCATTTTCAGTTTTTTTTATTCGAATATATGTTTTAAGATTGCCAAAAAATTTATTTGGTTAATGATACTGAAAAACTATTTCTTGAAATAGAAAATTAGAAAATATATTTAATAAATTGTATTAAGACATTTTATTCCATGAAATTTGATATTTCATATGAAACTTGATGTTGGATGGTGATTATGGAGAAAAAGAACTAAAATCGAGCTAAAAGGATGGATATTGTGCTTAATTCAGAGATGGAGGATCAATCAGACGTAAATTGGAAGTTCAAGGACTGGAATTGCGAATTACAAAATGTGAGCCAAGAAAAAAGACAAAAAATAGGGACCATAATGCACAAGAAAAAAGCTGGAACCCTACGATCGCAAAGCAAATGGGATAAAAATGAACAAAAGCAAAAAATACTCATTATTACATGAATAAAGCCAGTCAGATAGACTAAAAAATAGGGATTCAAAAACACATTTATTTTACAGATAGTGGTTGACTATTTTTGTTTAATTTTTCAAAGTGTTCAATCATGTTTCGACACGTGTCAACCTTAATTTATATCCTTTTGACACGGGGCATATCTCAGTGGTGCGAAGGACAAAAGTGAGATATACTCAGCGTTGTTGACAGTCGCAGTGTAAGAGTTCGATTCCTGAAATACGGATTGAGACTCTTTGTGGGCATCAATGTACAGGCAGCTCTTGTTCTCTAACTTGCTGAAGCACATTCCGCGATTAACCTCTTTCACGATACTCCAGGGACGGAGTCGTAGTGGACCTTTAAGGTTGGAGTTCAACCTTTTTTTTTTCTTTTTTTTTATTTTTGTGTCTTTCCCCATAGCATTATTAAAAAAGGTTGAACCCCAATCTTAA